GGATCAATTGTGCAAAACAAATTGAATGGAGGTATGGGAGACCCATGATTTTCAAAATCGGACTGGACGGTCAGACCAGAAAAATCGGAAACCGGTCAGGTGACCTATTCCATTTCCCCAAAAACCGGATTTCCCCCCGAAACTGTTGATTTTGATCAACAAACCACTGAACCGGATAGTTAACTATTCGAACCGTTCGACTCGGTAACCAGACTCCTGACCAGTTCGGTCACCAGATCGATTTTAAAAACCATGGGGAGACCCACATGCCTTCAACCTTGCCCATGGGCTAAAGTTATGAAATTAAAATATTTTCAGCACTCTGATTTTTTGAAGGCCAAGCCTAAAGCAGGGTAGTCTTGGGGGTGACGAGGCATTCTTGAGGCTAGGAAATTCTTGAGTAAGGGTATCCTTTGGAAGGTCAACAAGGGTTCTAATATTAACCTTGGATGAACCCCTGGAATTCAGGGATTGAAGGCTTTACTCCCATTAGTCTAGCTCCCCACCATGTTGCGAATTTATCCATTTCAGACTTGATTAATCAGCTAAATAATAGATGTTGGGAGGAGATCAAGATTAGGGAGTTGTTGAGTACATATCTCTGCCCCACAAGGGGCCGCCCTACAGCACATCCCTGCCATGTATCAAAAGCATCTCCCGAGGATGACATCATCGATTCTCATACTATCATTGGGAGATGTTCCCAATATACAGCAGGAATATGTTATGGGACGTTGTGGGGTGGTGCCTTGTGGGGCGGAGATGTGAACTCAGGAGTTGTTCCCTGAACCAATTGTGTAGAAAATCTTACAAATAAGATTAGCTTCTAACCTTTGGGAGGATTTGGTTATTTAGGTGGCAAACAATTCAAATACCTTTACTGTGAAGTCTGCTTATTTCTTAGTAGCTCAAACCACTCAGAACTCTCATTATAGTGACAGGAGGCTTGTAGAGAATAAGGAAGTTTGGAGAGCAATTTGGAAGCCCCAAGTGGAGACAAAAGTAAAACATTTTCCTTTGGAAAGTGATTCAATCTCCTTGCTTGAGATGTGAAGGAGACAAGGAAACTATTATGCATGCACTATTTTCTTGTGAAAAAATTAGATGCATTTAGGTTTGGTTTGGGCTTAGGATTAAGAATGAATGATTTCAATCGTGACTTGTCCTTTATAGCGTGGCTTCTAAATCATATGAACTCTCAAGATCATGTTGATGATTATTTCATTGTTCAATGTTGCTATTTGTCTTTAAGGATGTAAACGGATTGGATCAAATTTAAATAAAGGTATATCTGAATTCCATCTAATATTATAAATTACAGATTAAATCTGGATATGATCGGATTTCACAAATACTGATTTGAATTCGAATCCGATAAAGATATCAATTATCCAAATCTGATTCGATCCAATTTAACTTTTAAAAAATTAATAAGTTATTAAAAGGGAAAGAAAGTACAACAATTTAAATAAAGAAAACAAAAAATACAAGTAATTTTCAATTATTTTCAGCATATATACATGTTTTTTATAAAAAATAAATAATATAATAAATTTACAAAAATGCAATGTAAATAATACATTTATAAATAAATAAATACCATATATATAGGGGCTGATCTTAATTTGATCAGTTTTTTTTAATCGGAATCCAATCTGATCCGAAAATCTGAAATAGGGATATCTGAATCTGACAAAATAGGATCGGAATTTTAAAAATTGTTTAATAAAAAATAAGGCTGGTTTGGAATTTTAAAAATGCTTAATGGAATATTCCATAAAGATTCGGGGGCTAAGTGTCACTAACTCTTGAGCACAAGGTGTTTGTATGTAATTTATACTTTTGAAAATGGAATCTCTCATAGACTCCAATTATGATACAATATCTTGAATCTCATGTCAATTAATAATGATGTTGAGTGATCTAATTACTTTTTAAACACTTTTAGTGACTCCAGATCTTGCCCACGTTTGCCCACAACACACTACCCCCGTGCATTATTGGGAACATCTTCTCATGTATAATAGTATGTAGGAGGATGAGATGTTCTCCATGTGTGGCTGCGATGTTATGTAGGTAACGTGGGCAAAGTTCTTATGGGCAGGAGATCCCAATTCACTTTTAACAACTTAAAAATGGCATAACATCTCATTTTTATCACTAGGAATGGCAATGGATCGGGAGCCACTCTCCCTTCTTGTCCCCATCCCCATGAATGGAGATGGGGTTTTTCTAAGTACCCGTACTCACGATGATCCCACTCTCCTTCATTTTTTTCTGATGTTAAATTCATTTTTTATTTCCATTTCATTCCAAATTTTAAATAAAATATATTTACAATTATACCAAAATAGATCTAAATATATTCAAAATATATTTAAATACATTTAAACATGTTCAACCATATTTTTAAAATATTAATACAAATTAAAAAAATTAATGTAAATACATATTAGAATGCATGGATCTCTACGGGGTTAGGAATACTCTCCTATCCCCATCCCAAGAGGAAAAATAATCCTATCACATTCCGATTAGGAAAATCATCTCCATCCCCATTTCCTACGCACTACTCTTTACCCACACTCTACCTGCCTTTAAATTACAGTCACACATCTTCATCTTGTGTTGTCAGACACTTAGACGTGTGACCGTAGGGCACTAGGGGTGTTCATGATTCGGTTAACTGAACAGTGACCCTTTTTTTTATAACCGAACCAATGCTATCAGATTTTAAAAATCTGATAATCGAAACCGAACCGAAGCCAATTGGTTAACCGATTGATTAGTTCGATTAACCATCGGTTCAATTCATCGGTTTTTTGGTTTTTTAATTTGTACAATATATATTATAAATATATATAAAATATTATATTTTAGGGTAATTTTCTTAAACTACCCTTATAGTTTAACTAATTGACTAAGTGTACCCTTACTATTTGAAAATTGACTCACGCTATTCTTATTGTTTCTAACAATTGTCTATGTCTTATCAATGTTCTTAAACATGGACGGAAAGTCTAAAATGTCAGTTTTGCCCTTTAACTCAAACATTTGACTGATTGACAAAATTACCTTTTTATCCCTCGTTTTAACCTATATGTGCAGGTTCACTTAGCTTGGATGAGTGGCCGCCGATGACGACCGATCTCTACTCGTTGGACCTACCACCGATCTCTGTTCGAAGGAAACACTACAACATCAACTGCTGCGAATCTCTGTTGGATTAACCTTAGATTGCTATGAAAGCCTTTTGCCCGATAGGCTAAGATGGAGTTCAATAGAGGATTTTCAAAATGTTCCACCAGAAGAAGATTTTCAAACCCCACCAAAGGATAACGATCAATAGAGCGCCCAAGAATAGAGAGGACCATCGCCTTCGCCCGTGACGCTTGTCACTACAATTTCCAGATGACGGTGAGAAAGGTTGGAGATCTCAAATCTGCAAGGAATCCAGATCTGATATCTGGCCCATCATCTGTCAATTCAATGTAGGTACTCATCATTGATGATGATTTCTTTCGATAGGTGGGTGTTAATTTCTCTCCGCTTTGATCTACAAGGAACCCTTCTTCTCCTCTATTGCCGATACCCTTCACCCAAGTCCTTTAAACGCCCAGCTGTTCCCACTCGGGTTGGACTTTTCCCTCTCATTCAAATTCCCCTCCAACCTTCTCTCATGCGAATCCTAGCTAATACAAGACCATCGACGACCAACATCAACTGGTGTGCGACAGCAAGGACTCAGCCGGAGACTGAGTTGTTCTATTATTGAGAGAAGAAGATGAGAACCAGATCTCATCTTAAGCACGGTCTAAGGTTCTACATTCGACACTCCCGAGCCCTCATCCCTGAAAGTCACTTGCATTGGCTAGGTTCGTGTCAAGACGAAGAAACAGGGGAAGAAGATGAGAATGACATCGGAATGAGAGTTTCAGAAGAATAGACCCAACCCAGGCCGGGATTCATCCGCAACCACATCAGGATTGCCTGTAGCACAAGAAACAGAGATGGGTTCATTTGCTTTTAACGATTTGCAAAGCTCTAAAGAGCCTTTGAGGTCGAGTTTAACCATTTCCTTCCTTGCTGGTCTTTGTGTACTTCAACAAATGAGAGACAAAAGGCGGTAAAGGCGAGGACTTCGTGAGAGTTTAACTGTTCATTGTCTTCGACGAAGAACAAAGTGATGAGAGTAGAGGATTTTGGTGGCCCGTCGTCTTTGTTAGTTCGGGAGCTCAATGAAGGGTTGATCTTGATAAGAATGTTACGGTCGGAGGAAGATAGAGGGAAGAGAGAGATGTCGAGGAGGAGGGGGGTGCAGGTTGAGAGGAAGGGGATAAGGGTAATATTGGGTTTTAAAAAATTTTAAACGTCATGTCCTATTACATGTGTACGGGTTTTGACAAAATATTAACGATGCTAACAGTTAGACAATAATAGCGTCAGTAAATTTTTAAACAGTACATTTAGTCAATTAACTAAATCATAATAAATAATATATCATATATTATATAATATATATTTATATATAATACATTTTTATTAATTTATAATATATAAATATATATAATATACATAAATATATATAAAATATATAGAAATATATGTATATCAGTGGATTTAGTTAACAATCGATTTTCTATATTAATTAACCAAAAAGAACCGATATTTTTAATTTTTTAAAAACACCAAACCAAAACCAAACCAATCAATTTATTTAATCGATTTTTAGATTCAATTTCAATCAAATTTTCGGTTTTTTTCTCACCCTTACAAGACAATATGAGTAGAGAGTGCAAGTAGAGAAAATGAGACTAAATCTGCTCCTTACACCTGGCACCTCACAGGCACATCCAATCATGCATTGAAAACATCTCCCGTATATTATTTACGGGAGATATTCTTAATGCACGATGGATGTGCTTGTGAGAGAAAGTCACTAGGAAATTTAGATTCATTCAGGTGGATCCCGCGAGGATGGGATGGGAGGAAAATTGCCATCCCTGTTTATCGATGACCACTCGATATCCAAAGCTAGTCATACATACAAACGGAATGACTTCGATAGCTATGATCTTGCAAGGGTCATTGTTATCCTTTTCGTCTACTGAAGATCTTGTCGAGACCTGATTTGATCTCGTCTACTGAAGACCGACTCTGCTGGTGTTTGCCACGTGTACTAGTTTATTGAAGATTCCAAGACACGTCGGACGTCTAGTTGAATGAAAATACTTGGACAGAGTTGCAGACTGATAGTCATGGTCATAGATTCCTGAGGATTCAAATATAAAAGGCGAAGCCGCAATGGAACGGTGCATCATCGTCTTTGTCTTTTCTGAGCATCGGCGAACGCTTACTTGCTTGTCTGCGACTGCTGCTCAGCTGCTGATAAGGTGCTTGACTTAGAATGGCAGAGCCTCGTTTCAGTCGCTCATGGCGGATTATCGGTTATAGATCATCGATGGATTCCAGCTTCAGAATCCAACATGTTGACCTGTTCTGTGTGCTTTTTCTTCTTTTCATTCGTTCTTCAATCTCCGTATCGAACGAGATTCCGGGGGTAAGTGGAATTGGAATTTTTTTAGGTGAATTCAGGGTTTTTTTTGGTTTCAAAATTTGAATTCTGTCGTTCTTTTTGTATGAATTGGATGGGTTACAGTTTTGTGCTGTGGGATATGGAGAGTCCGAGTGTGGACCGTCGTCTTCTTCGAAACTGTTGATCAAGGGAGGAACTGTTGTGAATGCTGACCGTCAGGAAGTGGCGGATGTTTATATTGAGGATGGGATCATTGTTTCTGTGCAGCCTAATATCAAGGTATAGTCGAATTTTGTTGTAATTTTTCTTTTTGACTGGTAAATTTGAGAATTTTGTCAATTGTATAACAGTGTGAATATTTATAGGATGACGAGCACTCTCAATAATAGTGTAAAGCACTCTAGTGAGTAGTGTTCATCTTTTCTGTTGGCGAATTGAATGTATTGGTTTGGTTTTTCTTTGAATGTTTAAGATAATTCAATTTTGTGGTGAATGAAATAGTGAATAGTCATGTAGTCAACTGTTTCCTTGAAGGATGAAGGGATTTCGTTATATAGCATAGGTAAAGAAGATGGAAGGATAGGGCAGGGCGTGAATGATTTAATTCCATCATCTATGGTTTGGTACTTTAGGCGGAGGATGATGAGGCTTGAGCAGTGGTTTGAATGGGTTTTAGGATCACCATAGGCATACTGATTTTTTTTTTTTCTTTTTAATTGTTAAGATATACCAATGAAAAAAATTTCGTCTAGCTGATTTTTTTTTTAGAAAATGAAAATTTAGGATTTTCTCTATTGTTGTTTGTGATAATGTGTTTATGTGTGTTATATGATGCTATATTTAACGTCTTTTATTACTTCCTTGGTGCATATTGGTTTGAGTTCTTCTTCATACAGTAGTGCCTTATTATATTTTTCCTGCATTAATTATTTCAATTATTCTTATATGCCTTTATTGTACAAAAATGAGACCACGGGATGATGTCAATACAAGATAAGAAACCAAAAAAGTACAAAATGCATAAACACAAAACTTATCCAGTTCAGCAAGATGCTTGCATCCATTATTGAAGATTCGTCCAAAAGAATCCACTAATAAGCCAAAAAATTATATAGATCCAATTTCTCTTCTCAAGAGAGGTACTCTTGGCCAAATCTAAGAATCATTGTTCTTCCTTCCCTAGGAGATGCAATCATCTTACCTCAAAATGAAAGAAGATGATTCACCTACCTAATAGAAGGATCCATACACAGTATTGCATGGACACAACATGAGAATCAAAATCTGATGCATGTCTCATAGTCTGACTTGGCAAGATGAAAAACAAGGACTCATGGAGATGTCTATAGACAAGTATAAACTATTAAAACACTCCATACTTGGCTGATTTTTAATATTATAATCCTACAGAAAAAGTTTTAAAAGTTTATCTTTGTTACTTAATAACATTTTGTAGGAATAATGACATTCAATGTGTACATTAACTGTTCATTTACATAAGCAATGAGAGAAAGAAAAGTATCACATAGAAGTGTCCTTGAAGAATCCATGAAGTGTTGGTGTTAGAAGTGTGTCTGACACGGACACTTCATCCATTTAGTAGAATTCATGCAACACTGTCCACACACCAAAACCCAAGAACCCAAACCTGAGGCAACCAATCATGAACAATAATGAACACCAAACCCAAGGAAAACCACATTATCCTGAAGGAGAACCACCAAATGAATAGATCAATTTCTCATCCCATGGAGCGCCTAAATTCCCAATGCCTCTCAATTTTGTACCTACTAGATAAATATTTCTTGACTTTAAAAACCCCAAATCTTTTGTCATAAGAAAGCTTCATACACTTCTCCCTACAAAAATTCCAAAATTAACATCTTCATAATCAACTTCTTTATAACCAATTACTGCAGTAAAGAAGGTCAATACCATATTAGAGAAGTGAGAAGAGGAATTAGTTTTCACCTAGGAAACACTGCTCCAAAACTGAACTAGTATATCATCCTTACCTGTATCCACATTTTACCTCCTTTGTCTGGTTACCTTGTTCTGTTCCTATGAGGCCCTTGTCTTAGCCTGACATTTTCTTAAACACTTGCTATCTGCAGGTTGGTGATGATGTCACTGTGCTTGATGCCACTGGGAAGTATGTAATGCCAGGTAAAACCTCATATTTCCATGCAAATGGCAACAAAATTGAGGGTTTTCAGTACCTATATCATGGGGTTTAATAGAGTAAATGTGGGACATACATCTGGCCTCATTCAAGAAGCAAACATTGGCACTACTCAGACCTTTCAGTATGAAATTATGAAGTATATGCTTTGTTTTTAAGAAAAGTCGTTGTTCAACTTTTGCAAATATTACTTGTAGAAAAAGTAATATACTAGTATACTTTCTATATGTGTTATCTTATTATTATTTCTTTTCTAGAAAAAGTCAAAGCAGGTAAGCATCCAACTTGAGCATATAATCAGAGTTTGTTAAGCATCTCTAATTTGTTTTAGATTCTCATTGGTGGTATGGTGGCATTTTATCATGCTCTTGAGCAAGGTTCAAAGTATTGACACGTATCGGCCGATACGTATCATTCCGGGACCCCTCCGATACGCCCTACAATGGGTGTATCGGGGGTCTGACCGGGTCAGGGGGTGGAGGAGCCCTAAACTGGTCCCCCTGAACCGGTTTTGAAAAAAAAATAAAAAAAGGTATCGATTCGCTCGATACGCCTCTACCAGTGTATCGGGCGTATCAATATTTTGAACCTTGCTCTTGAGGCATCAGTAGGTCATACCTGGTCACATGGTTTGCCTTGTGGTTGTGGACTCCTGTCTGACTAAAGGATTTAGCAGAAAAAGGCAGTATCCTCTAGAGTTTCTCTCTTTCATGGAGCTTATGGGAAAAAGGAATAGCATAATCTTTGGAGGGAGGCATTGGGAAGTTAATCCAGTGATAGGAATTGTTGAAATTTAAATAATAATTGCTTCTTGGGCAATGATTCTCGATGATTTTCAAGAGATTCAGTTTTCTAATTTCTGTAATGATTAGAATGCCTTAGTTTTTTATCCTTGTTATGTTAGGATTGTAATCTGGTTTGTGTGGATTGCCATTTCCAGGCTTGTGTATTGGGTTATGACCTCCTTATCTTTTGCCAATAAAGTTTCTTCTTAATTTCTGAAAAAGGACATAAATTGGTAAATAGAAAATTAGAAATTAAGCATCTGGTTCATAGACTTGTCACTTATCCTGAATTGCTGGCATAATATTCTTGCCTTTCCAAATAGTAGGGTAACTAAAAGGTAATGATTATCATGTAGTTAGTTTTGGCACTGAAGTTTTCTGAGTACCTACTTGGCTGACTTAAAAATTATTCAATTGTTTAATTCACTTTTTTTTCCTTAGATATGATGAAGTGCATGCTTTATTTTTAAATGAGGATTTCATATCCTTGTATGCTATTAGTTTTTGGACAAGCCTAGAAAATTAAGCAATATATGCAAGGTTCAAAATGTCAGTCTTGGAAAATGTTTTATTCCAGAAACCATACAAGACATACTGTGAATTTGTTGAAAAATTTTAGGTGATATTTGAGAAATAATGGAAATTCTCAGGATGTTGGAAAAATATTTTTGGGAATTCTTGCACTTACATACATTTTGAAGTCAAAACTCATTACAGGATTCTAATAATAAAAAACTCATTAAAATACTATGAAAACCAATGACATGATATAAGGAAAAGTTTGTCGTACATATTAATGCACTTTTGGTTCTATATATTTTTAATAGATTATTCTGTTATTTTTCTTTTTTTATTTTATTTAAGTTTGGGCAAAATCCAGAAGATTCAGTATATACTGGATGCAAATCATCAGCAAATTCTAATTGAAACACATTGAAACATGGATTAACAAACAGTAAAAATGATATGAAATTCACCTGAGAAATAATAATTATATTGGTGTAATAATGGAAGCATGTTAATCTTTTAGGCATGACTATAAATGATATTTAGAAAGGTTCACGATGTTGATTTGCTAAAAGTTTTGCCATTTGAAGGTGGTAAAAATTTCTGGAAACTGGTGAAATATGTAGAAAGAAATGGAGTATATTTTAATGACACTTGAAAAATAATGTCAAACCAAGTATAACTAGAGAGTCAATACTCACCAACAGCTACTACAGATAATGTGCAATAAGAAAAGACTTAAATAGGCATTGAGGAATTTTGATTCACTATCCTTCAAACCCCATGGTTTGCAATATCGACGATATTGGCGAAACATCCCCATTTTGCTAGGTGGTGATACGAAATTTTCTAGGAATCTAATTTTTTTCCAAATATCTCCAATATTTTGCTGATATGTCAGTGATATTTCAGATTGCGTTGATAGACAGTATATTTAAGGTTTAATTTTTAGAATATTATTAAAAAACTTTTCAATACTTTGTTAAAATCCTCATAATGTTTTTTAAATAGTTTCCTAAGAGAACCATGGGTAACTAGTGATATTTTAGATTTCATTGATATATAATATTATTAAAATTTTTTTGATATTTTGTTAGAATCATTATAATTTTTAAAAATATTTCCTAAAAGAACCATGGGGACTTGGTGATTGGCTAATTGGCTTACTATTTTGATATTATTCACTTACTAATTCACTATAGTTCAAAAGAAAAAGTAAAATGCATATAAATACAAATGAGTATTCACAAACTAATCAAAACATATAGTAATGGAAAAGAAAAAAGACAAAGTGGCAAGTAATTGACATATTTAATAAAGAGAAGATGGCTTAAAGATGGAAAGGGAGACTAAGAGAAGGTTACCTATTAGGCCTCATTCGCTTTTCGGTAAGTTACTTACCCGGGTAAGTGCATTTACCCATGTTCTTTTATGCATCTTCATTTTTCTTATTATAAAATGTTTTTATTAAAAATAAAGAAAAATGAGATTCTTCCTCTTAAGGAGGCTTATGCCTCCTTGTGTTCAGGAGGCTTACGCTTCACGCCTCTAGGTAGTGGAACGCCTCGTGTCATGCCTCCGCATTTTAAATCATTGATTCTATTAAGGGGCAAACCCAAAATTATCATGTACAGGCCCTTCAAGCAGAAATGCACAAACAATGTAGAAAAATCAATGAATACAAGTCATATCTGATGCAAACTTGAAGAGAAGGTGGAAATTAAGGCCAAGGAAGTCTTTCGTAGGCCAGCCCATCTGAATAAAGTTTTTACTGCCTTACCCATCATCTCTTCTAATGAAGTTACCTTATTCTCAAAAATCCTCCTGTTACTCTCAGTCCATACAACCCAACATAGACATGGATCAAAGTCACTTTTCTCTCTTACTGAAACTGGTATTTGGCCATGAGTTGAATAGACTTTGAGCATCCCAGGTGTCACCCATTGCAGGACAAAGAGCTTCACAAAGTGATCCCACAAGCTATAAGATAAGGGGCGGTGTATCAGTATATGATTTACTGATTCATCTGCATGGCCACACAAGCAACACAAATTATCCAGCTGCATGCCTCTTATAGCAGAAGATGGCATTTCAGCTGGGTGGTAAGAATTATCCAGCTGCCTCTGTTCAAGTTTCTTGGTTTCTTAGCAACAAGTTTGACCCACTAAATATTAGGCCTGCAAATAATTCAGATAAGATCTGATCCGAATCTGAATCCGATCTGATAAGAGCAGGATTTGGATACCTCCATTGATCCTAACCAATTGGATCGAATCGGGAAAGTCGATCCGTTTAGTTCACGGGTCGAATTTGGATATGCCTCGATCTGATCTTCCATGACCCGATCCAATCCATTAGTTATGAAATATTATATATTATATATGTCTATTCTATATATTATTTATATAATTATATATTATATATTGTATATTACATATTATGTATTATATAATATATTATTATATTATATAATAATATAACATATTGTTTATGTTATATCATAATTTTTTATTACAATTCTAATCAAATCGGATATCCAATAAGATATTCGAATCATACTCTTGAAAATCCGACTGATTCTTATCGGATTCGGATCGGATATACCCTTTATCAGATCCGGTCTGATCCGCTTGCATCTCTACTAAATATTTTGTTGTTGCATTATGGGTAGCACAACTAAGGTATATAATATTAGTGTTATCCCCCACCCTTACAACATAGAGAATTTTCATTATTTATTTTTATAGAAAATATTTATTTATATATAATAGAATAGCTGTTAGAACACAGAAGTAAATATAGAAGCATAAATTAGTGCAAACAACACTAACAATTAAAATAATTTGTACTTGTGATGTAGGACTAGCTTAATTTCAGTCTTAGAGAAGGTTGAATGGTCTATTTTTGGTCAGAATTTTATGGCTGTTGATGGCTGTAATGGCTTGTTGAAGGAATAAGAAAGAAAATGGGAGAGAAAGAAGAGAAAAAATACCCAGAATCACTCATGGGGTGCCTAGAATCACTCTTGGGTATGGGAATCACTCACCATAATTAGCATAAGCTCAAGAAAACTCAATAAACTTCATTGATCTTTTGTAAAACATCCATATCCTAGTAGTGAAACTATTGACCCATAATAATCCCAGTAGGGCTCAAACTAAACTGTCATATCCTATTTCAATTCAAACAGGACTTAATAACTCTAATCCTACTTATGCAATGACCCTGAAATTTTAAACATAAACAAACTATAAATAAACAAATCAGACCCTACCATTGGACCCTACAGAAAATCTGTAAAATAACAAAAAAAATACCCCTGGTGTCCACTTCAGTCCAAATCCCAAGTACCACCATTATGCCATATCAGGACCAGTGACCAAGGGTGTTGATTGATTTCCATCAACTTGACTATCCTAAATTGTCAAATATTACAAGTTCACAATTTATACTGAAATCTTAGTATAAGACATATCCTCATTCTGGGATTGAAGAGAAAAAACTAACCTTCTGCACCTGTCATACATTCATCGACATCAATTGGAGTCAAGCTCCCCTATTATATGGGTCTCTATCCATCTAGTCTGGGTGAGACTAGCATTGGTTGGATGGTTGGCAAAGAATGAAATCATTTTCCAGAAATTATCTTCAGGTTGGACAGTTGTAGCCTTGGTTTTTGGATCAGGTTTGTT